ATTATTGTAAAAAATGAAATAGTTTAAGTAACAAGCAGTTTCGAAACTATTATTCTATGAGAACCCAATTCTAAATGAAGGTATTAAAGGTGATTTTGTATTTTCTTAATTCTGTTTATTTGTATTTTCTCTCTATAAAAATAAAACAGGGAACTTTTAAAATAAATGATGCTATAGAAAAATAAAAAAGGAAGTAGTTGGTTACTGAGTCCATCTGGTCACATTAATATTTCTTCCATCATAACACATTATTCCAAAGACTTGAGTTTTTTTGTTTTGATCTCTTTGATATCTTTTTATCCATACCATTGTATCACCAATAAGACTGTCAAGAAGGCAAAAGTATATTTAATAAACCAATATAAAAGTGACCAAAAACCCAGTACTGTGAGTTCTCCACCAGAGAGAGCAAAGAGAAATCCATTAAGATTGGGAAGATAGGGCCTCCCTGGTGGCACAGTAGGTTGAGCATCGCACTGCTAAGCTGTCCGAGCCTCTGCAGTGCGGGTTTGACCCCCACCAGCCGGCCAGAATCCCACATGGTGAAGCAGACCTCTCCTGTCTCACCTGCTGCTCCCCACAGCCTATATTTCATCAGGCTGCCTGTTCTGTTCCCCACTCTGTCTCTGGTGAATCCTCTCACCCTCCCAAGCACCTGGCTGTACCCCGGTTCTTATATAAATAAATCTTTAAAAAAAAAATATTGGTGGGCCTCCCCTGGGGGCCCGCAGCCTCTGCAGCACCGGTTTGATCCCCAGCCACCAGCGAGGGTCCCACATGGAGGGCAGACCTCTCCTGCCATGTCTGCTGCTCCCCTCAGCAGTGTATTTCATCAGTATGCCTGCTCTGTTCCCTGGTGAATTCTCTGGCTCTGGTGAATTCTCTCACCCTCCCACGCTTCTGACTGTACCCAGTGCTTGTATAAATAAATCTAAAAAAAAAAGATTGGGAAGATAATTCATTAAAGTCCATTAAGGTCAAGAAAAGAACATCTACATCATCCTTGCAGTGGCTGTTGAGGGGTTCCCCCAGCATTCTCTTTGCTTTAAACCAAAAATATTTTTCTTAACATCTCTGTCAAAGAGAGAAAGTTCATGATTTCCATCCATATATGAACTAAAGCAAAGAGCAATCATGTGACTTGTTTGAAATTTACAATTAAGTCAGTGGCTGAACTGTAAACAGAACCAGGATAACCAACTGCTAGTCTGCTGCTCTAACTAATGGATCCTGCTCCCTGCTATGTAATAGGACTATTTCCTTTAATTACAAATTTTTCATTCACCATCAGATTATCAGCCAGAGGTTTTATCATTTGTTCTTGCACTCATGCCATGACTCCAAGAATATGAAATTTCTATGACAAAAAAATATAAAGACCATTGATTATTACATAATACCAATTCTAAAAATCCCAAGTGCTGTAGCAAGAATATGCCACCAAGTCTGCACGTAACAGCATATTAATGGGCAGAATTGCAATTTTAACATGCACATGGAGCTGGTCAGTGACCTGGAGAAAATTGATTCTGTTTTTATACGATCACTAATATCAAAGCACTTAATACCTTACCTTAGTGCATTCTAAAGCCTCTTTTGTCAAAAGTATTCCCATATATGACCTGCCTGTATGTGAAAGTCCAAAAGGTAGCAGATTGTTAAAGATACATTTTGGAGTATTTGTGATGTTGGGAAGCAGTATAAGATCAAAATCATGAGGTGCTATTACATTACTGGGTAAACAAAGTAAATTTCTGAAAAGAGGTGTGCAGTCACTTGTCTTTGAGAAGCACTTTGTATTTCTTTGGCACATATCACAGCATCAGTAGTAGCAGCAGCCTTGCCCTTGGTACTGATTTCTTACTACTCTAAATGTCTCCTCTGAGCCAGAATACACTGGCTGTTGCTGATCATGCTGTGAGACACCTGCACTGGCTACTAGGCTTGTCATGACGCACAAAACCCTACCATCTTCAGCTTGACATTGTGCAAGTTATAATTATTCATCCAAATGAATATGTCAGAGCAGCAGCAGCAGACCTCTCATCAGAGCAAAAGAAAAATACATCAAAACATTATCAACCCAGCAGGAAGACAGGGACCATAAGGAAAATTACCCATTTTTAATATGGATGCCACAAAGCCATGTCTATTATTTTACAGAAAGAAAAGAAAATAAAGATCTTCCAAGTTAAAGTCCAGAAAAACAGAATCTAAAGAGGAAATGTACAAACGCAGACAAGGAATTTTTTTTTTTTAAATCAATTATCTGGAACCTGTTTACAATCTCTTAAATATAACTTTGGAATTAGACTGCAATAGTACCATTTATGTTGCCTGAAACTACAACTGTTTAAAAACTGTTAAAAAAAATAACTCTCACAAGCAGAATTATTTCCAATAAGTCCATGAAAAAAAGATCATACAAAGCAAAGAGGTCTGATATTCCTTAATACTGCCAACACTCTTATACTGTCTAAAAGACTCAAAGTTCTTACTGCTGGAAAGATCACCAAGATGTTTATGATGTACAGCTAGACTCTAAACAATAATAGTTTTTGAAACTTTGTAAATTTTAATAGCATGTGCAAAAGAACAAATCACGTGTAAACACACATTTCTATCTCAAATATTTAAATATATACAAGTGTTACTTTTAGAAGAGATAGTATCTTTTTAGAACAAGATATGGCAGATTTTTGTTCCTTTCTTTGTTGTATCATTTTTATTGAAGTAGCATTGGTTACAACACTGTATATCATTTAGGGATTTCGGTTCTCACCTCTTCAGATTTATGTTATTCCACCTCAGCTACCACCAAAAACACCAATAATCCCTCCACCAAAATCCACTATGTCCCCACACACTTTGCTCAAGATTTTCTTATTCCAAACACAAAAACTAGAAATTACAAAGAAGAGATTGCTAAATGTGATCACACTTAAACTTCTGACTGAAAAATATAAACAAAGTTTAAAGAGATAACACAAGATACTTATATCCCATATAACCAAGAATTATTATTACAAATAAATAAGGAATTTTTATAGTAAAATTTAAATAAGCAAAGATTATAAGCACAACATGATTATCAATTCTTTGTATGAATTAAGATCAGACTAAACTAAGACTCAGCCTCAGAAAGGATTGGGGAAAGTGGGGATTACCATGTACTGCTAGGTAGAAGTATAAACTTATATAACCATTTGGCAAGGCAATGTGACAATGCTGAGTAAATCTCAAAGAGATGCATTTCCTACAATCCATAAAGAAAGAGAGAACTGAAGCAAATGTGACAAAATATTAACATCTGTCAAACTGACCTGTGGGTAAAAAGGTATTCATATTTTTATCTGTATTTTGCTAAAAAATTTAGCATATCCTATAATTTAAAAAGAGAATTTATGTGATTCCTATTACTACTATTTAATTTTGTTTTCTTGAAACCCACACAAAACAGAAAAACTGTTGTAGAACCCAATTAAATCTAAAACCTGAAAGTGAATTACTATTATAAACAATTATTCCATGTTTATGTGTAAGGCATTGAGCTGGTATTAAGTACAGATTTAAATTTAAAATTTAAAAGAAATTGCCCTCAAAGTTCTTCCAGGCTACTGGAGTTTAAAACTGATTTGCTTAATGACAGAATAAGAAGGGAAATGCCAAATGTTTGTGTGCTTGTGTTTGTGTGGGTGGGGGTGGGGGTGGAGATGCAAACTTTTTCACAAATTCAAGTCTGGGGATAATTTGTATGGTTATCTACATGCAAACCAAGAAACTCATCAAAAATATATTATTTGGCCTTAATTTGATCAACATTATAGTTTAGAAATAGCCTCTCTAGAAAGAGGAATACAATCTAGGTAGAATGTTATCTCATAATCTCACATAAAACATGAAGCTCACTGAGCCAAAGAGAAAATACATATTCAAAAAACAGAAAGTTATAGTATGTATATTACATGTAATTCCAATTCCTTTAAAATAATCAATAGTTGTTTTTATATAACACATCAGAATATCAAAAGTAAATCAAAGGTTTTTCTTTTCCTACATTTTGTTGTTTTTTCAATTGCCACTGAAAAGATACTTTGTTTTTACAAAAAATAGTTTTGTATAATTACATGTATAATTAAATGCCATCTGAGTTTTCACAAAGATTATGTTAGTCCTATAAATTTTTTCCTTGAATTAACTTGAAATACAAGTGCTTTACCTTATGTATTTGTGATTTAAAATATTAAGCATAAATTCACATTTGAACCTAACAAAATTTCCTAACAAAAATATGAGTAGCATCTATTTAGAGAATATTTGTGAAATGTCACTAGGAATTTTTCTGTGTATGAGAATAAAAATATTCTCTCCATTTTGCTTCAACTGTCACAATTTATTTGTTGAAAAAGAACCATACCTACCACCATTAGATTTTTCTTTGAACCTTATCACCATTCTGCCAAACCTTTAAGAATTATACACACGTTGAGAATCATACCACCTTATGTCTATAGAATATTACAGTTTACGATGCACTTCTGAATATACTACCACGTTAAGTATCATTAATATATTGAGAAATTAAATTCACAGGAGCAGGAGAAACCATCTCCTCTATTCTTCACGCAGTTATGAATGTTTCAAAGCATCAAAACTTTTACTGTTAAAAGTTTTAGCAATAAAAAAAAATTTCATCCAATTTTCCATTTACTGATCACTGCCTGATAAAGTGTTCTTCAGGATTTTAATTTAAAGGAACTTCTGTAAACAGATTCTTCCTATTGATCTAAAATGTAGCATAAATATCTAGAGGCTGAATGGTGTGTGTGTGTGTGTGTGTCTGTGTGTGTGTAGAAAAAAAAGGCCATTCATTAGTAAAAACACTCTAGAAGGCATGTCTATAACTAAAAAAAACAAAACAAAAAAAACCTCTAAATTATAATGACAACCTATAAACAGAATATGCATTTTAGCTACTTAAAATAAATTTAAGAATTTACCTGTGGTGTCCAGGAAACAGAAAATGGAATAGGAAAATCCACAAAACAATCTGGTGGTTCTGTAGGGTACTATAACAAAAAAAAGTAGACAATTTTTGCTTTTGTGACAATTTCAAATAAGGTGTTTTTGAAAAACTGAATAGGAAAAGTATTATAAATACAAAAGTGCTACATTTTAAATGTTTTATTCTATTATTATAGAGACATTGAGTTGAGTCTTACTCAAGTTATACTCAGGAGGTATAAAGTTTGATGGGTTGAGGGTACCAAAGCAATCAGTTTGGATAAAGAGTAATAAAGTCAGTGTTAGGTCAGTTGCTAAGGTGATTTGAGGAGTGAGGAGTGAACCACAGTGAATCTGTGGTTAAAATATCAATTAATTGTGTTTAAAATATCAAACTAATTAATATTTAATTTCCTTTCAGTCTAAAATTTAATCTTAACAGTCTCAGCCACTATATTTAGAGAAGGGGTATCTGTTGAAAGAATCAAGAAATGCACAAATATGAAAACAATATGAAACCTCCATGGATCAAAAATGGAATATACAGTTCACTACTGAGTTGCATCTCCCACTGATTCTGACGGCAAACAAGACCTACTCTATAACCTAAATAAATCATCAGTATAGGTAAGAATATGAAGTTAATGAAATGTTTCCTGTATTTAGAGTGGATAAAGAAAGTTAAGTATCTTTACTTGCTTCTATGACTTTGGAAATCATTAAATACACAATGATCATGTTAAGAGAATTTAATTCTACAGTCAAGTGGGACGCAGTGTACTAAATGGTAAGTATGCAAACAGTTCAACAAAAAAGCAGACTATAATAAACAAAATCCTTCATACATAAATGAATCCACCATATAATTTCTAAAATTATATATTTCAAGTATATTTTATATATCATTATGAAAATACATAAATATATATGTAATAAATTAAAACAACCTACAAGAAGGAAGTTTTATTGTACATGTTTTAAATTATAAGCCTATATTTATGTGTTATATGCACATTTAAGATCAATTTTGCTTATATATAAAATAAACTTTTTATATATAACTGCATGGACCCTAAAAAGTATAAATGTATATATACTTCTGGATAATTTGACATGAATTGGAAGGAGGCATCTTAGATACTGATTTTCAGAATCGTGTACTGTAATGCTAACTACAACAATGGAAACTAAATACATCATGACTTTACCAATATTCCGATAACTTTTGATTGTAAGTTCTTCGGTACATATAAAACCACCAGAAATTGCCAGAAGTTTTACTTTAGAAGTCTAACTGACATTAACAAAAAAACTCCTCATATAAAGGAATATTTAAAAAAGCATAGTAATTAATTTTAATTATAGTTTTTCAAATCTCACTTGAAACACTGAAATCAAATTAATAACTACGAACAATTACACTTAAATTATAACATAGATACTATTATAAAATATCAAGTATTTTTTGTGATTCAGAATTTTTTTTAGACTCTAGCATATACTGTTCTAAGGAAAACTTAAACCAATCTGTTCTGTGACTGTACCATCTAAGCAGTGAAGTTTCCCCCAAGTAAATATACACAAATTGCAAATTACAAAAATGGCCATCGGAGACAGAGTACTCAGTCTCTGATTCACATCTGTGATTTGTTTCAGTTCTGATCTTGGTCAAAGCTGCACAGTCCTAGGCTATTTCTTTTTTAAAGAAAAGATTAATTCCACCCCATAGTTCAGGATATACTACATTTGTGCGTGCGCGCATGTGTGTGTATTGATTAAAAAAAAAAAAAGAAAAATTCAACTGTTCCATTTATTTTAATAATTCCTTATATCCCAAATATTTATTTTTTTAATTAAATTATCAACAGGATGTGCCTCATAAAAATTTGTAATGTTTTCTTTGTAAGTTTTTGAAGACAATATGGAGTGGCAAAATTGGGAGAGTAGGTATTCAAGAATAAAACAAATACATTTTTTCACTACATAGCAAAAACATGAAATATTTATGTATTTATGAAAATAAACCTATTCTAAGGTTTGTTTAAAACAATGAGCTTGTCACTTTAAAATTTATTTTGCATTAAGATTTGGATTGTGAACTCTTAACATATAGTTGTAGCTATCACTATAATTAACGGATAGTCTATGACGCATATATTCCTAAAAAAAAAAAAAAATTACCAAATCTAAAAGACAACTTTGGTCTCTATGAAAACTGAACTAAATGGACAAATAAAGACTCTAATAAATTATAACTCAAAGCTTTCTCTTCTCTCTTGCCAGGGCATCTATGAAAGTGCTTCACAGCTATCAATGCTGCAAAAACTGACACTTGAAAATATTCTCCAGAGAAATGTTAACAATGTCACTTTATCTAATTGAAAAGTATAAGAAAAAGCAGAAGAATGGACCATGTGTGGTTACATCCTCACTCTCAATACAACTAATAATGTCTCTAACCGGAATTAATAAAAAAATCTTTTAGGTGTAGTAATAGGCAGTATAGACTTAAAGCATTATTCTTAGCAAATAGAAAAGCTTGTTAAAACGAGGCTAATTTTAAAAAAAAATCGGGACAGGATGTATTAAAAAATCTCATTTTGGTCTTCACAGAAGCAAAGTAACTCTTATCAATGTATTAGATATAAACAAATAAAGCTTTGAAGGAAATGACAGAACCATTGCCACTGGCAATATGTGACCTTTGGAAGGATAAAGGCAGATTTTGCCTTGATCTTAAACAAGCACACCTTTAAAAATTAAAAGGGAAATGATCTTTTACATTTTAACAAAAATATCCATGTAACATCTTTTACAAATAAGACTTCTATTCCAATAAATTTTTTCAGTACTTATCACAAGTCTTAAAATCCTACCTAAACATTCTGTATGTACAAAAAAAGGAGAAAAACTCATTTCTCAACTTGTCTGATATAGAGGCACTGTAAGATAACAACTTTTCTGTGTCACCCAGTACAGCTTTATATATTAATTTTCTCTTGTGGAAAGCTTAAATGCCAGACACATTTTTAAAAAGGACAAACACAATTGATCTTTTCATCACTGCAATCTTCTGAAATAGAATTGATTGATGACTCCTCCAAACAATAAAAAGAAAAGCTAGATGTCCTGGTTTTTTTCAAATTCTAATGTTTCCCTAGTGGTTACGAAATAAATGATTAATATGCTGAACTTGCTTACTCTACTTATTTCTCACAATTCAAAACCTTGAACTAAAAAGTAAAGACAAAACAGTTATGTTTTGTGCTAATAAAATCAGTATGTAGTTCTAGATGATCAACTTGTAGGGCTCCATAAATAGAGCCATAACCATTACAAATTCTTAAAACACAGAAGTTAAAAAAAATTCAGAAAAACAATAAAATGATGTATATGTTGGTCTATTTGGGGGTAGGGGATCAGAGAAAAAGAACTACAAAGGTAATTCATACTAAAAGTTGAAGGTGAAAACTTCAGTAGAACTTTACTTGGGATGGTGGCAAACTTCCAAGTCTTTTCTATACAGGATATTACAAAAATAACAATATGATGTTTTGAAGCTGCTCAATCTTATTTGTAGCTTTTATTATGAAGAATATATTTTGGTCAAATTGAAATTGAAACAGTGACATGTCCTTATATGTAGGCTTTTAAAAACCTGGTAAATCAATTCTTTGATGCTTTCCAAAATGAATTTTTAGCACTTCTTTACATAAAAACTTTGAGTACATTTCTCAAAGTATTTTCTGACCACAGTAACAGTTTAATAACACATACCTTTGCCTTCAACTTGAGAGTGATGAGATGCTGTCTACCAGTAGCATCTTCGGCTGTTAATTTGATGGTACTGAAGCAAGTATCCACATACACAAGTCTGGTGAACAGAAGGAAATAAAAAATGATCACACTGGGGAGGGCAGTGTGGGGAAAGGAGAGTTTGGAGAATGACAGTATTTAAAATGAAATTATTTGCTATATTCCTATTAATCCATTACAAAAATTAATCAGAGGAATTTCTGCATGCCAGCCCTTTATGATGTTATAGATTTACTGCCATTAATACACCAGCCTAGTGCTTAATGCAGTCATAGATCTCTGGATTATTTACAATGTGTGTCAAGGCTCATGCTGTGGTCAGTGAGCACTATGTTTCGGTTTTTCATCACTAGAACCTTTGGCATACACAGCATGTTCCTGTCAGCCTCTACTTATGTACACATTAAACTTCCTGTCAAACTCTTTGATCCATTTCTGTAGTTTCATACAGTATGAGACTTTTATTCTTCCTTTATTTGTTTTTCTCCTCAATGAACTTCTCCTTTATTATCAATAATGTTATTGTACAAAAATCTGACTGGTATTAGTTCCTACACTCAAATTGATCCTCTAAGGAAAATGCTGTGTATAAGCACAGGTACAGCCTAGGCTCCTAACAATAAATTTTCTTGTTGAGCAATATATAGCTTCTGACACTTAACCTGGGCATGTATTAAAGATGACTAATATTTTAAATAGATAGCACATGCACAATTGCTTGGGCTTTAAGTTGCTCTAAATGCATGAATTTTCTACAGTGGAAACCAATACTCTTTGAAATAGATCATTCTGTAAAAATACGGTCCACTGACTGGCATAAGCTACTGCCAAAAAGATTCAAATTTAGCAGTATATTTACTAGTGAACTGGGCATGAGGATATTTTTTAACATTATTATAATACTATTCTTTTGTAAAGATAAAAAGTAGCCTAAGATTGTTCAATTAATCACCAGAATGAGAGTATAACCACTAGAGTTCAGAGACTAACATTAGCCTCTTAACCTTGGGAACATGTTTTTAAAGTTACTATATGCATTATAGTCACTGGTCAGATATAATGGTGAAATGGGTACATTTCAAGAAATGCTGGGCAATAAAGGTGTGGAACACTAACAAAACATAGATATAAATCTGAATGAGATATGTATCTTCCAAGGTAAAACAATCTGTCAGCAGAAAAAAATTTTTATTGTAATGATCAATAAAAAGTCTAGGGCATTTGAACAGTGAAAATTAAAATTTATCATTTACATAAAAATAGCAACAATTTTATATATAATTATTTTTCTTTCAGTTATATCTGCAAATGTTTCAAATCCCCAACTTCCCCATCCCCACCAAAAAACATAAGACTTTATCAAGTTTTATCAATATGACTTCGAGATTCAGATATATGGGCATCTGACTCTGAAAAAATCAACCATCATGAACCACAATATTGAAATGAGCATATGCATTTATATCCTCTCTTACTATAAAAAGGGAATTTAAAAAGGGTATAAATAAAACCAATTGCAAATAAAAATAGCATCAATAAAACAAGTTTCCCACTAATTTTATAAAAATGCAAAATGCTTAGAAGAGTACCTGCTGACAAAATAGAGAACAAATGGTACAAAGTGGGACATGGTTGGCAAAAGAAAAAGAAAGCCAGTAGACTAGAGTGTATAACTTATATACTGAAAGAAATTAAGGGAATTATTTTAACATATATAAGACACCAAAGAGAGAAGAGGAAATTTTAAATTAAATTATAAATAGTAATATTATGCTAAATATTGTAATAGCAGGGTCTCCCCTGGTGGTGCAGCAGTTGAGCGCTGGGCTGCGAAGCTGCCTGCAGCTTCTGCAGCGCCAGTTCGATCCCCGGCCTCCAGCAAGAGTCCCACATGGCGCGACACACCGCTCCTGCTGCACCCGCTGCTCCCCTCAGCAGTGTATTTTTGTCTGTCTGCCTATTCTGTTCCCTGCTCTGGCTCTGGTGAATCCTCTCACCCTCCGGCACTTCTGACTGTACCCAGTGCTTGTATAAATAAATAAATAAATCTTAAAAAAAAATTGTAATAGCTATGCCTAACTTTTCAGTGAAAAATACTTGCATTCATAAAATATTAAACTGCTTACTAATTACAATTTTTAGAATACAACAATAAAAAAGCTAAAAGACTTAATTATAGTTATACAAACTAATGTAAATACATCTGGCCCTTGCAATTTGATAGGAGATGACAAGAACTGAGCTGTAGAAAGGGGAAAGATACAAGAAGCGAAAAATAGGATCACTAAAATTTGTAATTGCTAATTTGAGAATAAGAGACACTATAGATACCGAAGAGATGAAAGAAGTTTAAAAATTGTTTGTTTATAGAAACATAAAAAAAGTGAAGAATGGAGAGAGAAGGTAGTACACAAGCTAAATCTTTTTTATTATAGTAATCAACATGCAATTCCTAAAATTGATAAAACAAACAATATTTACTATAGGCATATTATGTAGAAATATGGAAGTTATAAATACGAGCATTTCAGAGTATGTCTCAAAGAATAAGACTGAGAATAGAAAATGTGGAAAAAGCCTGCTGCTATTTATTATAAGTCCTAAATAGTTTATAATGTGATGAATGGTTATAAATGTGAGTAACACAGAGAGAACCATGAGGGATGGGACAAAAGAAGGAACAACGAAATCACCAACTAGTGCTGTTCATACTTCACATTACTGCTCATCATCAAAATGTTTTAAATCATACAGAAAAAAAAGTTCTAGTCTTTTGTTTGCAATCATACAAATAAAAGATTATCATCTTTCCACAAAGTTTAGGACACAGAGGTCATACACTGAGAAAAATAAAAGTTATGCTCAAACTATGGAGTCAAAATGATAATACGGCTAATTTTGGTACACTTTAAGAACTGAAATACTAAAAACAAAAATAACACATTTTTACGTTAATCTCAGCATGGTCAATGAAAATTAGACATTTTACCCACGGTGATTTGGAAGAGAAGGGAAAAAGCTTATTGTGATTATGAACACTTGAGTACACGTGACCTAGACAGCCAGTTGTCCTCAAGTGTTTACTATCATTTTTTTCTTTTAGTAATAAGTCCTTACCACCCCAGCACCCAAATAAATCATGTTTTAGCAGTGTACTCTCCACCCAGCTAAGAACCCTTTCTAGTCACACGAGTACCAGCAAATCACTAAATTTTGACAAAGCAGAAGTGATATATGGATCTTTTGTATCATTATGACAAAACTGTGCCTTCCTCTCTCATTCTCCCTTTCTATTGATTAATATAAACAATGAATTTTTAATTTATTTTAAATACAAATGTCAGCAGCATGTGTGGCTGGTAACTGCACAGCCACAATGGTTGGGTTCTTGGATGATCAGTATTTCTGAATAATCTTGCAGAACAGAGCTACCACCTTCCGCCTGCCTGAAAATGCTAAATGAGAAATGAGTAAAATCTATCTTGTTTGAAACATTGAGGATTTGGGTACCCTTAATAACAGCTTAGCAGGTACAAATAGAACATACTTCTATCTACTCATGACAGGAAAGAGTATTTAATGTTTGGCCCATGGAAGAGATAGGACAGGGGTAAAAAACAGGCCTTATAAGTAATATCAAATTTAGTTTTTCTTTTAACAAGTTTATTTCATATGCTCTGTTTTATTGATAAGCTGGGTATCTCAGAAAATATAGAGTTGATAACTTTTATTCACTTAAATAAGACATAAATAACCCATTTAAGTAATAAATTTAGGAACGTCATAGTTGGAAAGATCAAACTTTTGACAAGTTATAAAATCGTATCTAGTGTTTATATTTAGGAATTTAGTTATCATTATTTCACTAGACATATTCTAAAACTGACCAGGAAATATAAAAACAAATAGAACATTTGAATAAAATATATCTTTGGTGAACTAGACATAAGACCTGAAACCATAAAATACATAGAAGAAAATATAGGCGAAACACTACATGACATGCACCTCAAAGACATCTTTACAGACACATCACCCAAAGCAGTGATAGTGAAGGCAAAGATAAACAGCTGGGACTACATCAAATTAAAGAGCTTCTGGACAGCAAAAGAGACAATTACCAAAACAAAGAGAAACCCCACCGACTGGGAGAAAATTTTTGCACACAACACTAATGATAGAGGACTGATCACAAAAATCTACAAAGAGCTGATGAGACTCAACAAAAACAAAGAAAATAATCCAGTCAAAAAATGGGCAGAAGAGCTAAAAAGAAACTTCTCCAAAGAGGAAATGCAAATGGCCACCAGACATATGAAAAAATGTTCAACATCACTTGCAATCAGGGAAATGCAAATCAAAAGTACAATGAGATACCATCTCACACCAGTGAGAATGGCACATATTAAAAAAACTAGCAACAACAAATGTTGGTGAGGTTGTGGAGAAAAAGGAACACTCCTGTACTGCTGGTGGGAGTGCAAACTGGTCCAACCACTATGGAGAGCTGTGTGGAGATTTCCTGACCACTAAACATAGAGCTTCCATATGATCCAGCAATTCCACTCCTAGGTATTTACCCAAATGACACAGAAACAGCAATTCCAAAGGGCAGCTGCACCCTATGTTTATAGCAGCACTATTTACAATAGCTAAGCTATGGAAAGAACCCAAATGCCCAAAAATAGATGACTGGATCAAGAAGATGTGGTACATATACACCATGGAATATTACTCAACAATCAAAAAAGATAAACATGTGCAGTTTGCAGCAACATGGATGGAGCTAGAAGGGATTATGATCAGTGAAATAAGTCAGAAAGAAAAAGAAAAATATGGATGGTCTCACTCATAGCAGGAATTTAGAAAACTTAAATAAGAGACCATGAGGTATATAATACAATACAGTAAAAGGCACAATTGCTAAGTATCAAATTAATGAATTTTTTCCCCAAGTGTTTCCTACATTTCTTTGACTATGATCTTTTTTTATTGAAGTATCACTGTTTATCAATATATCCTCATTAGTGTTTTGAAGGCGGAGGATCTCCCCCTCAG